CTTAGGGGGAGGGGTTCTCAAAAGCCAATTGAAAATTTTTAAAGGAAAGTATGAACCAAAACTGGAATTTAAAGAGAGATTGGAGGATGAGGGTTCAAATTAAAAAAATACTCCATGGGGGGGGGGTATGAATTAAGTTTCTGGAACTACACTAATATATGATGGTCAGAAAAATGAGATGGAACACGATCAATGGGAATTTGTTTAAGCTATTAAACACTTACAGGTCACAGTTCCCAATGCCTTGAAAAGCATACACCGTGCCAATAATGGTGCTTGTCCTGATTTATCGAAGCAAGTGAAATTAAGACGGATAATTCGTCCAGAAAATTTTCCATCTTTGTCTGCTTTCCACTGAATGGAAAAAATGAAAATTATAAAAGTTTAAAAACTTGCCATGGGTTTAGAGCAGTTTTCAATTAAGTCTCGAAGGTAATGACAGAGGCACTTTGGTTTTGGTTTCTGCTTTGGCCTTACTAAAGTTTGAGACTGGCTGAGCAGTGTAATTGGTAAGTAATAAGTTTGGTTTTGGTTTTATAAATACCTGCACACTCTAGTGAAAACCACTCTACTAACTGTATGAATTTAAAGAGCATGTATTAAGAGAGAAAGGACTTATTCTACTGGATTCAAACAAGTAAATATATAAATCAGAACTGATTTCATGTGCCAGGCATTTGTAGGTCAATATGTGTTAAACCTAACTGAACTTTGTTCTATTAATCTACATTAATTTGATTTACAGTTTTAAACTGTTATCCTATAACCTAGTAAGACAATTTGTTCTCACCTGCACTAGTTTTATTTACAGATAAGTTTTGGCCATAACCTGGTTTGTTTTTGTACGATTTAATCTAAGGAATTTTTCAGGGGAGGGTTTCTTTTTTCTTCTTCCTCCCTTTACAAGGAAATAGCAGTGACTCCAGAACTTCCCACCCTGTAAATTTGCATTCTTCTTTTAATCAGCTATTTACATTCAGATCATTTTGCCATTGATTACAAATTCTTCTCAATTCTTCTGTTCAGTTCTCAGTAATCAAGGATTTAATCATTCAACAATTCATAAAGCCCAAAAAGGGTAAAGCCAAACCTGTGCTACTATAATTAATAAATATATAAAATATATTAAACTGTGCTATAATTATTATTAATCAACTTCTATATAAAAATTACAGAGACGTCTGTATGAAAATCTTCTCAACAAAGATTATTTCAGTGGTGAGATACAGGTATAATTATGTACTTGCATCACAATTTAATGAAAAGAACAAAATGAGAAACATTATTTGCCAATAAAAATTGAAACCATTCACTTGGTGAGGAAATTATTTCACCTCCCATCCAATAACTTGCTAACTCATTACGACTACCAAAGCTCTGGTCTGTAGATTCAC